CCGCTCAGCCAAGTTCCAGCAGATCGTCCGTGGCATGAACCAGGTACAGCCCGAGACACCCTCCACCACCGCCATTCCCCGCGTCCTGACTGACCCCGGGCCCCACCAACCACACCCGTCCCCACAGGTGCTGGATGTGCCACTGACCGTGAAGCTCCGCACGGGTGTCCACGAGCGCGTGAATCTGGCCCACCGGCTGCTGCCCGAGCTGCGGGACTGGGGGGCCGCGCTGGTCACGGTGGGTCTCGGGGCACAGCGGGTGTTGGGACTCCCGAGGTGCATCCCTTTCTAACCATGGCCTCCCTTCCTGCTCCTTCCTCTTGGTCTTTGGCTCTCCTTCCATCTCTGTCTCCGTCTGTCTGTCTGTCTCTCTCAGTCTGTTTCTCCGGGGCTGTCTGGGTCTTCTTGTCTCTCTCTGTCTCTGTCTGATTCTCCGCCCTCTGCCCCTCCACCCCTACCTGGCTGCCTTTCCTCCAGCTCCACGGCCGCTCACGGGAGCAGCGCTACACCAAGCTGGCCGACTGGCGGTACATCGAGCAGTGCGTGACAGCAGCCAGCCCCATGCCCCTTTTTGGTGGGTCCCCTACCACCAGAGGCCACGCACCGGGGCCCACCCCTCACCTGGGCCCCCTCCTGCCCCGATGGGGAATGCTGCTGGGCTGACGAGAACTCCCGAAGCCCCGGCATCCCCGCCTGCACGCAGCTCCCTGAGGCCCTAGTCTCTGTCCCTCAGGAAACGGGGACATCTTGTCGTACGAGGACGCCAACCGCGCCATGCAGACTGGCGTCGCTGGGATCATGATCGCCCGGTAAGTGCCCGGGGCGGGGATACAAAGAACCAGCCAGGCCTGCCCCTGAGCACCCAGCCTGCAGCTCGGGGGAGGTGAGGGCGCATCTGAGTTTGTCCCCAATGCCGGTGCCCCCAGCCCGCCTGCCCACCCCCTGCTCTGTTATTCCCCGGGCAGGGAGATGTCAGAGGTGGCTGCTTATGGGGCTGAGAGGGAGGACTGGAAATTTCTGTAGCTGTGGGCTCAGGGTTGTGGCTTGGAACTCTTGGGCTTTGAAGGTTGTGTGAGCATGGCCAGGAGGTCCATGGGTTTGGGGGCTGGGGTTCCGCCACCGGCCTGCTGACCACCGCCCACCCGCAGCGGCGCCCTACTCAAGCCGTGGCTGTTCACGGAGATCAAGGAGCAGCGGCATTGGGACATCTCGTCATCTGAGCGCCTGGACATCCTGCGGGACTTCGCACACTACGGCCTGGAGCACTGGGGCTCGGACACCCAGGGCGTGGAGAAGACACGCCGCTTCCTCCTTGAGTGGCTGTCCTTCCTGTGCAGGTGGGATCGGGGTGGCGGGGCGGGGTGTCTTGGGGAGGCCCGGCCCAACCCCGTCCCTGGTGCCCCCGTCTGCAGGTACGTGCCCGTGGGCCTGCTGGAGCGGCTCCCGCAGAGGATCAACGAGCGGCCGCCCTACTACCTGGGCCGCGACTACCTGGAGACGCTCATGGCCAGCCAGAAGGCGGCCGACTGGATCCGCATCAGGTGCCCGGGAACCGCCGAGGCCCTGGGAGATAGTGCACCAGGGAGCCAGCGGGTGTGGGGCCAGCTGGGCTGGGGGCCGCCCCGCCCCAGGCCTGACCCTGCTCCCGCCCTCCTCACAGCGAGATGCTGCTGGGACCCGTGCCGCCCAATTTCGTCTTCCTGCCCAAGCACAAGGCCAACGCCTACAAGTAGCTGCAGGGGCGGGCAGGGGTGTCTGAGTGCCCAGCGGGCTTCCCGAGGAATGAGAAGGCAATAAATTTTATTCTTTTAAAACCCAGGCCCTTTTGTGACCCTGAGGCTGTCTCATGCCGCACCCCCCCAGCTTTCCCCCACCATCCCCATCCCCGCAGCTCCCTCCTTCCTCACTCATTCACCAGCCCCATGCTGACCACTGCTGGTACCCAAAGGCCTTGACCACAAACAAACCACCATAGCTCATGAGATGGGGCCTTGGCCTGCGTGGGTGTGGATCAGGGCGGGCTGCCTGGAGGAAGGGGCCTCGGAGCTGTCAGGCAGGCATTGCTGGCAGAGGAGAGAGGCGGGAGGCGGAAGGCGGCAGACCGGGCCCAGTGTCCACCATGCTCTCTGTGACGCCCATCTCTGGCTGCCTTGGTTTCCCCATTTGCCCCTGCCCACCCCCCCCCCCTTACCCGGAACCCTGACCAGTGGGTGGGCCACAGCCTGGAATCCACTGCCTGGAGTAACCGGAGAAACAGAACTCCGCAGGACTCTGAGCCTCTGCTCTGGGTGGGCTGCCTGTACTCCCACTTGCTGCCCTCCTGGCCTGCGCGGCCAGGCCCCCGCCTCCCCATGCAGCACCCCAAACACTTCTACGCACCCGCCGCTCCCCAAGAAGGCTTCAGTCCCCAGAGCCTGGACGCCACTGAAGGGCCCGGCAACGAGCCTGCTTCTGCCTGCACAGAGCCTCTTCTTGTGGGTATGAGGGTGGGGAACACCCATCGGGGCAGGGACCAGGGCTCTGCCCGCCAGCCTCAGGACCCCACCCAACTGCCTGTTTTTTGTCCACAGGTTCCTCCAACGTCTGTCACCCCCTAAACCTGCAGAAAGAGGTGTTTCCAGCTCCTCCAGCAGGTACCGGCCTCCCACCAACCCTTGATGACCGGGGAGTGGGCAGGGGCATCTTGCTCCCACCCCTGACCCTAGATGGCTCCCTCCTCCGGAGGCAAGGCCCAAATCCCTGTCTCCCAGAGAGACCCCTGGACCAAGGTCTGTGTCCCTCATCCCCTACATGGGACCCTGAAGCCAAAGCCTGTCTCTTGTTTCCCAAACAGGTCTCCCAAAGCCGGGTCAGTGTCCCCGGCCCCCCAGATGCACCCCCAAAGCAAGGCCTGGGGCCCCTGACCTCTAGAGAGGGCCCCAAAGGCAAAGCCTATGTCCCTGTTCCCCAAGTGGACCCCAGAGTTGGTCCGTGTTCTCCATGCCCCAGACGTGCCCCACGGTTGGGACCCCATCCACCCCAGGCGGGTCCCAGAACTGCCCCTCTCAGGGCCACCCTCCCTGGCCACAGGTTTCCAGATGGCGCCCTGCGGCTGCTTCTTTGACCCCCGCGTCTACCGAATCGAGTGGACCACCACCGACTTCGGCCAGTCGTCCCTGTACAAGCTGGCAGCTGGGGGCCCTGCCTCGCCAGCCACCTACTTTCTGGAGGCACAGCACTGCCTCAGGGCCCCGGTGCCGCCCCCCGCGGGGCCCCGGTACCGCATGCCCTGCTTCCCACCTGAGGGGCCCGGGGCCAAGACCCTGGGCTTCGTAGGGGGCGGAGGGCCCCCCGCCTTCGCGGAGCTGCCCCCCGCCTTGGTCAGGCAAGGCCTGGCGCCCCTGCTGCCCCCCAAGGAGAGCAAGCTGCCCCCGCTGCTCATCACGCTGCCTGCCGAGGCCACGCTGCCCCCTGGCGCCTATGGCCCTCTCAAGGGCCGCTTGACCCGGCTGGATGGGCCCGGTGAGCCCTTGACCTTCACCTTCAAGGAGCCGCCCGCCGGCGCCAGGCCCAGCCTGCTGTACCTGCCGGGCCCCACCGAGCCCAAGGCGGCCCCGCTGGGGGCAGGCGAGGCCAGGACCCCTGAGGTGGCCAGGGCCTTCACGCCGCCCAAGAAGGTGATGCTCGAGGATGCGATGAAGCTCTTTGACTGCCTGCCGGGCGACCCCGAGCCCGCCGGGGCCCCATGCAAGCCCCCTGGGCCTGCCCTGCCCAACAGCGGGGATGACTCGTCCAGCGACATCCGCTCACTGCACCTGCCCGACGAGCTGCTGTCCTCGGACTACAGCGTGTCCAGGGTCCTGGATGTCGTGTCCAACATGGACTTCTTTTACAACTTGAAGGCGCTGGACGAGGAGCCGCCGCCCTGCCCGGGCGGGCCCCCCACCGCCAAGCCCAGCAAGAGGAAGGCCGGCAACCCGACTGCCAGGAAGGGGAGGCAGGGCAGCAAGGGCAAGCAGGCTGTGGTCCCCACCAGCGCCACCCCCTTGGGGCCCAGGCAGGACCTGGGAGCTGCCCCCCATTAAAGCAGATTTGAGCTGTTTGCGCAGTGTCTGGTCGGTGGCGTTCCGGGGCCGTGGGCTGTCCCCTCGCCCGCCCTGTCGTCCAGCGGGCCCCAGGCCACGTGGTGAGGCCCCTCGGGACCCCGGCGCCTTCTGGGTGCCAGGCTTCCAGAGTATAGAGTCGGGGAGCCCTAGACTTGGGGTTTGGGACAATCCCTCGTCTCCTAGCCCCAGAAAATCCAAGTCAGTCGGCAGGGATGGGGGGCTGCTAGGAGGTGGGGAGACACGGCCCAGACTCCTGCACTGCAAGGATTTCACCTCCATGTTTGATGGGGAAAGTCAGGTCTGCCCAGAGATGGGCAGGAACTTGCCTGGAGACACAGCAGCAAGCGGGGTGGGGCCTGGGGAGAGGCCTGCGGGCTAAGCTCGGCCTCAGCCCAGGTGGAGGGGCGGGTGTCGCCCATGGTGAATGGGAAGGCGCCCGCTCGTCTTCGCGTGGAGAGCTGGGGGGCTTGGGGTGCAGAGGCAAGTGCTGGGTGGAGGTCTGAGAGTGGGGGCAGGGCAGGCATGTGGGAGATGGTGTCCACCTGGCACACGGGCGACCCAAACGGGCATGCACGTGATGGGGCATGCAGAGTGCAGAGTGCACCTGCAGCAGCGGCATTGGGACATCTCATCGTTGATGGTTCCCCAGGTGCCTGGAGCCCTGCAGTCCCCCACGGAGCCCCTGCCTCTTCACGTCCCCCAAGCTGGGGGCCAGAGGCCAGGGTGGGCGTGCCTGTCCCAGGATGGGCATCCAGCCAGGCCCCCGAGTGCTGAGTCTCCGCCTGGGGCCCAGCCACACCTGGGTTCTGCTTCCCGGGGTGGGGGTGGGGGTGGGGGGCGGGCACAGGGCAGGCTTGCGGTGGTTTGGGAGCTTCAGTGCTCACACCTGTTCCCTTCTGCCCTAGCTCCTTCCCTCTCCAGTCCACGGAGCTCCCTCCCCGCTGTACCCTGGGCCAGGCTCTCGTCTGCCTTTCGCTTCTGGAGAGCCCAGGGCAGCTGCCGGCCGCACCCTCCCCTGAAATTCTCCAGGCGACTGTGAAGGGGGTGAGTCGGTTTCCCAGTGACACCTAAGGAGGTAAGGAGAGATGGAGCTCCCCTTGCCTGCCAGAGGAAGGGCCCTCCTGCCCCAGGCCCTGGGCTAGGTCTCGGGGACCTTCCCTGCTGGGGAACCCCAGGCGCTTGACTAGGATCCAGGAGGTGGCTGCGTGTGGGCAGGGGGTCTTGGCTGCTGGCACCACACCTTGAGCCTGCGGGTTACAGGGCTCGGAGACTGAGGTGGCCAGCCAGTCTGGTCTGTACCGGGATCATCGCCTGTCTGTGTTGTGAACAGGATGCGGGCCTGGAGGAGCTAGGAGCTCCCTTCCCTCGCTTCCCTCTGAGCCTGCTGTGCCTGCAGCCGTGTTAGGGGTATTTTCGAGATAAATAGGAAGTGCCCCCAAGAAGGGAAGGCCTTGGCAAACGAGGCGGATGCGACAGGATGGGCTTGGTTTTCTTTAAGATTAATGCGGCCAGAGGGTCGTGAAACGAGTATCACCTGACAGCCGAAGCCGTCCCCTCCAGAGAGGCGTGGAAGGTGGACCAGGCAGCCCCCGGAGGTGGGGGTGAGGTGACTGCCCACTGCAGTGGGTGTGGGAGTGGAGGTGTTTCTCTTTTTGTTTTTTTTTTGCGGTACGCGGGCCTCTCACTGTTGTAGCCTCTCCCGTTGCAGAGCACAGGCTCCGGACGCGCAGGCTCAGCGGCCATGGCTCACGGGCCCGGAGCATGTGGGATCTTCCCGGACCGGGGCACGAACCCGTGTCCCCTGCATCAGCAGGCGGACTCTCAACCACTGCGCCACCAGGGAAGCCTGGGAGTGGAGGTTTTTAATGACTGGGTGGAGACCGTACTCGGCAATTTTTTTTTTTTTTTTTTTTTTTTTTTTGGCCGAGCCACTTACGGGATCGTAATTCCCGACCAGGGATTGAACCCAGGCCCCAGGAGTGAAAGCACAGACTCCTACCACGGGACCGCCAGGGAATTCCCAGTATTGGGCAGTTTAAATGACCATCAGATGTGTTCTTTTAACCTAAGAGTGATCAGAAAAGTTATTGAGAAAGTTTTCTCTAGAATGAGATAGCTGTCCCATGCCACCTGAGGTTTGAATGAAGTGTGGGAGAGAGAAGTTCCGAACGGATGGATAGACTGATCAAACGTACATATACACGTATGTGTACATTGTATGCACACCTATATGTGTACTCGCATCTGCATATACGTATCTGTACACATGTATACATGCATGTACATGTGTGGGCATGCATGTTGTCTACACATATGTGTGCTCATATGTGACACAGACACATTGCCCACACATGCATACACACGTGTATATGTGTATCATAGACATATGCATACACATATGTAGATTGCAGATATATATGTGCATGTATGTACACATCATCTGCACATAGGCAATATGCATGTACATGTATACACACAGGCACATACATGCACACCACACATGTACGTGTATGCCTCACGTACCTACGTGTTATGTACATGCATGTATACATGCCTCTGCACATACATACACACATGTGTGTGCATCATCTGTATGCATAACACAGATACGTGTAAAATATGTGCTATGCTTCCAAATTTTATTTGTGGACATCACAAAACACACGTAAACGTGTTGGTCTGTGTATATGTCAGGGCTTATCAACAGAGGTGGACCCACCCCCCGTCCCCGTCTTCTGCAGCCCCCGCCCTTTTCCCTGGGTCTCATGTTTCTCTAAGAGAACACAAGTGTCCGATGCGTCTCTGGGGCTTGCCGATTAATGATCCCACCACATGCCTGTGCGGGCTCGTTTCACCAAAAGCTCCTGTTCGCTAGGAGTTGGGCTGCCCACCTTCTCACTGTTAACAACCCACATAGGTGCCGTAGTTCAAAGGGACTCTGGCGCCAGAATATTGAGGGAGGCGGGGGGTGTAGAAAAACCACAAAACATGAGTGATACCCACTGCTACCGGCTATCTTACCAAACGCTTTATTTCAAGACAACTCTGCCCCCTCCCTGCCACCCCACCTCCACCCTCCGGCGTGCTCAGCACCTGGCCCAGACACACGCACAAGACTTCCTGCATCTCCTGCGCAGACTGACCCAGAAGCCCTTGACCCTGCGGCCCTGCTCAGTGTGCAGCAGCTTGGGGATCATATAGGCCAGCCATACGGACAGCAGGGTGGCCCCCGTGAGCAGGACGATGGTGATCTCAGGCGGGAAGATGGGCAGTGGGAAGGCCCCGTAGACGTAGACGCTGAACGTGGTCTCCAGGTGACAGTAGCTGCAAGGGGCGGGCAGGGAGAGGCCGTGGGGCACCGCCCTTGGGGGCCTCACCCTTCACCCCAGCAAACTGGTGTTTTGTTGTTTGTTTTTTTTGGCCACGCTGCTCAGCTTGCGGGGTCTTAGTTCCTTGATCGAGGATCGAACCCAGGTCCTCAGCAGTGAAAGCACAGAGCCTGACCACTGGACCGCCAGGGAATTCCCCCAGCAAACGTTTTAAAACTCACGGGGACAAGAGCTGGGCCTGCAGCATTGACTCCAGTCACTGAGTTCCATTTATATCCACTTAACTTCTATCCTCTATAAATCTGCAGTCGTCTCTGTATTGTGTTGGCCAAAGAGTTCGTTTGGGTTTTTCCGTAACATCTTAACATATTTTAGCAGAGGTCATATTTTTCCCCAGGACCCCTGTGGTCCCCTGCTCTGGAGGCAAGGGATTCCCACCCCTTCCTTGCCCAGGCTCAGTCTGGGGGGCGGGCAGCAGAGACCAACAAAGCACTCGTCAAAGTGGACGCGGAGTGGGGGGCGTGAGGGGGGCCACAAGCGTCCCTCAGGTGGCTGCGAGCAGGTGGGAATGGCAGGATGGAGGGAAGGGCACCCAGGTAAGGGGGGGAAGTCGCTGGGGGCTCTGCTGGAGGCAAGGTGCAGGCAGGGCAGGGGATGAGCCTTGCAGGCAGACCCCTCTCTCCCCTGTGCCTTCTCCCCACCCCGGTGCCTTCCGCCTGTGGCGTCCCAGAGCTGGTCCAGGGTCTGGGACCTTTAGGGAGGGCAGGGTCTCCCCGCGCTTTTGGAGGTGGACTTTGTGTGCGTCTGGAAGGGCTAGGTGATGGGGGAGCGGGGAAGAATGCCGCACGTATTCCCCTTCCCAGTGGGAGACGTTAATGATCTGAACAGCACAGTGGGTGGCGAGTATTAACAGCCAGCTCCTGGGGCAGGGTTGGGCCGGCCTGTAATGAGTGTCAGTTTCCGTGGTGTCAGTACTCCAGCTGCCAGCGGGAAGCCAACCGGCTTGCAAAATCCCTGACTATCTAATGATCCGTGTTTGGGAGCCAGTCTACAGTGGCCCCTGCGCCCCACCTGTTAGACATGGCATGAGTGTGACTCTGGTCCCTGAGGGCGGGGACAGGGCTGCTGGTCATCGCTGTCCCCCCCACCCCCACCCCGGCACCCAGCATGGCCTTTGAATGAGGATTTATTTAGCAGGTGAACAAATGTCATCCTAGGGGAGGGAGACGAGTGGGTCCCCCCCATGTGTGCAACCTGCCCCCGGAGGCCCTGGCGCGGGCGACTCACCTGTAATGTGGATCCACGACGGAAATGAAGAAGGTGTAGATGCCGGTTCTTGGGTCGAAAACGACCTTGTTGTCTGTCGGGCCTCCCAAGACCTGGTACGGGGCTTCGGGCCACCTCAGGGGCGCGTAGTTGTCAGGGTCGTGGCAGCTCACATAATTCTGGGGAGGAGGACAGAGACACGCCTGCTGGCCCCGGGGGCCGGGGAGGACCGCGCCAGCCCGCAGGTGCTACCGCTGCACACACGGCCCCACCGGTGCCACCACCCACCAGCTCCTGTGGGTGTGAGTCCAGGACCGAGTGCCCGCTGGGCAGGCCAGCCGATTTGTGACTGTGGAGCCCGTGCCCCCTGCGGTGGAATCGCGG